ACCTCCTTGCCCTCTATAATATTAATCTTATAATCCGTCTCCTTAAATATAGGCAATGTCGATGCTAGGTGGTATTTAAACACATTAATGTAGGTCTCTCGGATAGGCTCTAGTATACGAGCAAGCTAATTAGGATTATTAGGGGGTACAGGTTTATCGTTATTACTACCGAGCAAATCGGTAGTCGGATTAGCTAAGGCGGAGGCTAGTATTAGGTTGCTAATAAACAGGACCCTAATATCGTTAGGGCACTCGCTAACATTAATATATTTAATGTCCTCTTTCCTAGCGATTCTAAATCGCTACTTCTAGAGGCCTAGGTCTATAGCTATAGCGTAGTACTTAAGAACAGGGTTACTAATAACAATATCGGATAGGAGGCTGTCTATATCTACTGCGTAGGTAGTAAAGTCTAGCAGGCGCTCATTTCCGAGCTACCTCTATTTAGGCGCTTCGTAGTTGAATTCGTATATATACTGCTCGTAACTTCTATTTCTATACTATACTATATTAGGTTTAGCGCTATTCGAGATCTTATTCTAGCGAAGCGCCTAACGACAAACTGTTCTAGGCGGGTGCAGGCTCGCCTATCTACCTACTAGCACATGTATATTAGCTCGAATACCATAACAACTATTACCCGTAGTATAGCACTTTATAGAGACGGTTCCTAGATAATTCAGTAATTAAGGATATCCGCTATTTTAATAATACTATTGCTTTACAAATTCGAGAATTATTATTAGGAAACATGAATTGCTAGTCTCGCCTAACTCTAGATAGGCGGACAGCTATAGAAGTAGGCTCGGCTAAATTGGTGTAACTTAGCGCGCATACGTCGCATACACGAGATTTTTGGATCGTTAGACTCGCAATTAGTAGGGCTACAACCTCCTTGTATTAGGTTTGCTAGTTATCGTTAGTATAGCGAGATCGTATTTTGATAGCGGAATCTACGATAAAAATCAGCGGTTTGGCTTTAGGCCTTTAGGCAAAGGATTAGGTAGAGTAGTGTATAATTAGTTGCTCGGAAGTCGGCAAATGAACCCTAAATTATGCTATTACGTACAATTCGAACTAATTCACTACCGCGGAACGTAATCCTTAATGTATAAAGGCCTAAACGGAGGTAGTTTCCGAGGTCGTCCTTTAGAGCTATAGGAATATAGTAGGCCTTATAGGTCAAGTGCCGAGCGTTATTAAACTAAGCAAGGGTTAGTAGGTTAGTCTTCGGCAGTTGTCGAAGGTCTAATTGCTTAGCTAGGCGATAGCTAATAAGGGCACTAACTGAATTTCCTAGATCTAGTATAACCTTAGTTTAATAGGTAGTACCCTTCGTATCTTATATAAGGCAGGAGCGTATTATAGCTAGCACAATATCGATAGTCTTACGCCGTATAAGGCTAACAGTTAGTGCGGCGCTTACTCTTTTTTCGACTAATTAAAAGAGCCGACTAGGGTAGTATTAGCGGCTAAAAGGTGTTTCCTATACTTAGCGGAAGCACGGTCAATTCGGGCCTAGTCCTTAGGTTTGTCGCATTGGCCTAGTAGATAACTAGTGCTATTACAATTAAAGCACTTTAATCCGGTCGGGAGATTGTTGCCGTAGCTATTGTTGCTGCTATTATTAGTCGAGCGGTTAGCGTTATAGGGATACGAGCCCCTTCTACGGCCCCTGTCGCGGCCTCCTCTATATAGCCGGCGGCTACGGCCTCTTCTACGGTTATTATTACTATTCCTATTGTTAGTATTGTTATTATAGTAGGAACCTTGATTTCCTCCGCGGCTACTACGGTTACTACGGTTAGTACTAGCTAGTCGGATCCTTAATTCTAGTCGTTATTAGAGCTAGACAGCTCGTTCGGCTATTTCTACTTCGACTATAAATTAAATACGTATTAGGTTAGCTTGTTCGAATACGCGGCGACGGTCCAATTCGAGGATAAGTTCCTACCTAAGTTTTAGGCGTATCTTAGAGATCTATATAGAATTAGTCTTAGGCGGAAGGTCGTCTTTAAGGGTTTTTAAGTAGGCCTCGAATAAACGAGCCGATTAATCGGTCTTTTATTTAGCTCGAAGATACAGGTCCTAAGTATATTATTGCCTTAGTATAGGGTTTCTAAGGGTATCTAGTATAATAGTTTTATAGGTTTGCTACTAAATAGCGGTTTAATTATCGAGGGAATCGAAATAGTTATCCTATATACGCTTTAGGTCGCTATTGATGTACTACATAGCGTATACGACTAAGGAATAGTCGTCTAGTAGCGCTCTTAGTGCGTTACGCTAGTTGAGTTTACAGTTACGAATGTAGTCGTTATACTGCTTTCGACTAGATCCGTTAAATACGGTATAGTCCTTAAGTTTAGTATCCTTCTTTTAGATAGGTAGTAAAGAAGGTCCCGCTATTAGTTTTACTATCGGGGCTTCCTAAAGGCGACGGAGCTCGAGGAGGTTATCCTTTAGCTATTGTTCTTAACGTAGGGCAGTAAGCCTGTTTTAAGTAGCTTCTTAAAGTCTCCCTAATAGTTAAGGGCTAAAAGCTAGTTAGCTATATCGACGGTTAATAATATTGCTAAGAATGTCGTTAATAGGCAACTCTAGGTCGTTACCTAGAATTACAGGTTCTTCGGCAGGCCTAGTAGTAGGCTCTTTAGTAGGAGGCACTTTGGCAGGTGCTCTAGTAGGCACTTTAGTAGGCACTTTAGCAGGCACTATACTACTAGCATTATCGTTGCTAGCGCTGCTAGCGGCGCCGCGACTGTTGTTTCGTAATAAGCCGGCTATTGTAATAAGGGGTAGCACTAATAATGTATTATTAGCCCCTAAGATGCGGATATAGCGGAATTAGTAGATATCGGTCTAGTATATTTAACTTAGTATAATAGGCCGTATAGAAGGCCTTGCTTAATAATTGGTACGGTTGTTTCGATAGAATAGTACGTATAGGTCCCGTTCTTCGGGCGCAATATAGTTAGATTAGTCTTGTTCGTAGCTATACTACTAAAAGCTTGAAATAAGAACTATCTAGCTACTACCTTTAAAGGGTGGATCGAATACTATATAAGAAGGGTCTGTTAGCAGGTAGATAGGGTAGTAGTAGGTACAGGTAGTATTCGATAGAGATCTAAGAGAAGAGGGAGGAAGGTAGGCTAGTTAGCCTAACGCTAAGCGCCAAGCCCTACGGCCCCTGCCTAAAGCATTAAGACCCTAGCTTTACTCGAGCCTAGTTATATACCAATTACGTGTAACCTCTTTAGTCCTAACATTTAGTTTTTTAGGTAGTAACTTTACTAAGCTAGCCCCTAAGCTAGTTTCTAAGCTAGTTTCTAAGCTAGTCTCTAAGCTAGTTTCTAAGCTAGCGTAAGGACTACTAGACTAGCTAGCCTATAATCTAGTAATCTATAGATTATAGAAGCCCTTAGATTAGATTAGCTAAGCTAATATAACAGATATCTAGTAATAAGCTAGCTTATACGTAATAAGATAGTAGGTAAATTCGTCGAGATGCCCTTTAACCCTATAATCTTCTATCTTAGCTTTTGCACCCTATCCTATTTTAAAAAGAAAAGACCAAAGTTTCGCGATTCGAACATTTCGGGATCCGAACATTTCGGGATGCGAACATTTCGGGATCGAGATCCCGGGAATCGACGAAAGGAGAATGCTGGTATAGATCCGCTTGTGGCTCCAAGTGGAGGCTGCGACCAAAGTACGCGAGTCAAGACGGTGTGTTCACTCATTGTTTGTGCGCATATCAAGTACGAATAAAAGCACTTGTCTTGAGACGAGTACATTGAATGATACGCAGACCGTTATGCGTGATGTAAGATGATGCAGAGCTGCAACATGGAGAGCAAGCGAGCGATAATGTATCTTTACCAGTGAAGGCCACTTCCCATGGCCAATTCATACCCGTCTCTTGCCAGCTGTGTGCCTCGTATGCAATATATGCCGTTGCTTGGTGGTTTGGCGGAGATGCGGTGGTACAAGCTTGCTCGCGCAAGGTCTCAGTCCGGAGTGCCCGATTCTTGGCTGCTGAGGAAGGCGCCGCATCCAATAGCGGACTGTGCCCTCCTGCGAGCCAGTGCGAGGTGAGTGAATAAACTCGGAGATCCGCTCTCGCGTCAACATCCTGGCTCACGGCCACACAACTGCCGGCATTGCCATTACCTTGGCAACTTACAGCCCATAAGCACTACTACCACACTCTTCCTTCTCTCTTTCGCTCGTCTCAGGTCCATCGAGTGCGGAACGGACTGGTCAGGCGCCGATGTGCAAATCTTCAACGGGCCTTGGTTTAGGCTAGATAGACTCTCCCGGATGACCAGAAAAGCTGCAAAGGCCGAGCAGCAAACAACGTCGCTGACGGATCGCCTCACTTATTATCATCATGGTCGCCAGCACGAGCAGCAGCAGATTTCCAGCCACGTGTAGAGCTGTCAGAGAAGGAGGGTAGCATCCAATATCGCAAGAATATCACGCGCAAGACAGTCGGCACGTTCTCTGGACGCTTGCTCCTGCTTGTGCCGAATCACGAGGCATCATCACGATGGCTGTGTAGCTAATGCTGTGTCGGTCCACCGAAGGTCCCATCGAATGTCACGGTGCCTCTGTACTGGCGTGGCTGGTTGCACGAGTTGCGAGCGTCACTTGGCGATATTCTTAGTAGCACTGCAAGTACGCCACTCACCATTGGCCACTAGCGTCTCACTGGCGTAGCCAAGACCATTTCTCCGAACGTTAGCATGACTGCGCATCCCAAAGAGATCGTAAATCGGGGAAGCGTTGTGGCTATGATGCAGGTATTCACTCGGAGCAGTGGAGCACCAACCCACTGTGGACACTTCGAGCTGGATACGGGACATTCTAGAATAGAAGTGAAGAGGAAACTAGGCACGAGGGTAAGTCAAAGAACAGCTTATAAGATTCTCGTTCCTGCTCTGGTCTGAGGCATCAACCTCCATCTACACCCAAGAGCTTTACCCCGTCCCAACCTTCTCAAGAACCCTTTCTTTCCCAGCCTTGCACTCGAACCGAACTCCGTCTCCTTCACCTATCAAGATGAGGCTCACTTTCATTGCTGCAGCTCTAGCGGCCACTGCCATCGCCGCTCCTCTGCAAAGAAGACAATGCTTCATCGACAAGGATGGCGTTCAGACTTGCATAAACAACCCCACGTGCAGCACAAACGAGGACGGAGTGACGACTTGTGTGAGCAAGCGAGAAGCGGAAGACATAATCAAGCGACAATGCTACATCGAGGACGGTGTCCAGACTTGTATCGACAACCCAACTTGTACCACGAACGAGGACGGCACTATCTACTGTGTATCGAAGCGAGACGAGAGCTCTTCAAATCAAAAACGCCAATGTATGGTCGACGAAAAGGGCCAGCCAATATGCAATACAGAGCCCCGATGCTACACGAATGACGATGGCTCCGAGTCCTGCGTCCTCAAGCGTGACACAGATGCTGCTTTGGAAAAGCGACAGTGCTGGATCGACAAAGAAGGAAAGCAATTCTGCAGCACCGAGCCGACGTGCTCCATTGATGAGGATGGCAACAAGATTTGCGTGTTGAAACGCGAGTCGGCTACCTCAAACCAAAAACGTCAGTGCAGGATCACCGAGAGCGGTGAGAGTGTCTGCAACACAGTGCCCACATGCAGCACTGACAAGGATGGGAACGAAGTCTGTGTGCTCAGGCGGGACGTGGAGGCGGCGATGCAGAAGCGACAATGCTTCATTGATGTCAATGGCAAGCAGTACTGTAGCACTGAGCCGACATGTTCGATCGATGAGGACGGGAATGAGATCTGCACTTAGAAGAAATGTCTTGCATATGCAATCGGCAGCACGAGAGACAGGAATGAAGGCACACGGAACGAATGACGAAGACATGGAACGATGCATAGTAAAAACGATAGACCGTCAGCTTAATATTGTAATTGACACGAAGGAAGCTGCTGCTCCAAGATTAACAGAGATTGTTTCCCGCTCCTCTTGCATCACTTGTCACATGGGCTTATTACAGGGCTGGCAGCAAACATTAACAGCCGCCCAATCAAGGCTGATATCGACATTCAGGACTTTCGTGTTGTTCTTGCTCTTTCCTGCTGCTGCTGATGCTGACTCAAATCCCAAGCTCTTTCGCTAAGCTGATGTGTGGACTCAGTAGCCCGAGGACTGCGACGCAAACACCAGCCTTGGACTTCTAAAAAGGCAACATAGCAAGTAGTCGACGTCTTTTCGAAATCTCATTTTACACCGGCGTGTCTCCGTAACGATATCTATGTCCAAGCTCGAAGGTGTATTTGCTGGCCCGTTCCGCACCTTTCTTTGTCGCTCATTGAACCAGGCAACTGTCATTACCTTGCCGCCTCGGGAACTGATTCCAAACCCCAGCATGTCTACTCTCTGGGCTGTGTGTCCGGTGTACATGCGTGGAGCGCTTCCGGCTTCCTCTACGGATATGACATCTCTTTTGGTCTCGCTTGCCAGCCCACGGTGCATACGCAAGACTGTACCCGTCTCTCACAGTGCTGTGTGTACCGGCATCGCTCGGCTTTGTTCATCCTCGTGCCGCTTCATACATTGGATCTTGAGCCTAGCCCTGGTTGTCATTCCAGACTCCAGAGGTGATCATTAGGCGCTGTTCTGCTGTCAGGATAGGAACTAGCATCAACAAGTCAAGTCGAGCGAGAACCGGAGCGCACTTTGGAGAGCGGCACTCTCGCAACACCGAGATCTTGTACCTGAGCCTATCCTGCAGTGTGATCACCAACGATGGATGACGTTTCAGGAGTGCGTAAGCGATGGAGTTCCGAGTTCTCGGGCCTTGTGGTAGAATAGGATTATGGGAGCGGCCTCAACATTCATTCACTCACCGCTGATTGGATGAGAGCAATAGCATCATATGCTTGCGGATGGATGTCGCACCTCGCAACCCCGACGCTCCCGCGCCGCCGTCTCTCCGCGTACCTGCTTCTCTTCCAACTACAGTAGCAAATGCTTGAACTTCAGCTCTTGACCAAATATGCTGAGATGGATCCGAATCCGATACCGCTGCCATGCGTCCGCTCTCCTTTCAGATCTACATGTGCTGTTGCTTTTGCCGGCCCCTCTGACGTGATGGTAGACATGGGTATTCTACCTACACGCTTGTGCACGATATGTAATCCTCCGTACAAATCTCGCCCGTCCGCGTCCCATGTCGAGACTGGAAGCTACGCGACTGACGGTAGGTCATCAACACTATGCCTCGCTTCAAACGCCACCCGCTCGATTACAGCATCAGACTCTCGGCCTAAGTATCCCGACATGACTACACTCTTCTAGACAACCACGAGGCTGATCGTCTAGGACGGCGCTCAAGTATATACGCGGGAATTGGGGCTGCTGTGCCTGATATCTCACCCGACCATTGCATTTGTCACCACCACCACCACCACAACGCATTACCACTCACCTTTACTCGACTGTCAAGATGAACCGCATCGGCTTGATGCATCCTTCCACGCTGACGGGCAAGCACAACGCAGAGACTAGTGCCCTCTACCAGGCATTCTCGGACCATGTGGATCGACGTCTCAACGCGGCGAACAACACTTTCCGATTACCTTCGACTGGAGCCATGGTAGGACAATTTGCCATCTTCCTCCACAATCCGAAGATTGGAAGGTCCTTCTTGGAGCTCTCTGACGCCCTGCGCGAGCTACCTGGCCTGAACCCACGCACGAGAGAAATCATTGCCCTCGTCGTCGCTACCAATGAGAGATCTGCCTACCAGACTTACAGTCACGGACGGCTAGCCATGCAGAGAGGACTCACACAGAACGAGCTGGACTCGCTGTACGCTGGCCTTTATTCGCACAGCTTCGCCGAAGCAGATAAGGCTGCGTATACCGTGGCCCGCGAGCTCTGTGTCTCTTCTGGACCGCTTTCCGATCGAGTCTGGAACGACGCGGTGACTGTCTTGGGCCGCGAGGGAGCTATTGCGGTAGTGCACCACACTGCATTTCACCGCTACGTCGCTACGCTACTGAGAGGATTCGACTCACAAGTTCCAGCTCCTGGAGAGAGGGTGGAATCAGAAAACACCAAGACTGAGTGACAGCGACTGTATGGAGGCTCGACGTCCTGGCTTCATACTTCCGGGGTGGTCTCGCGTTCTCCTTAGCAATCCCACCCGCATACGAGGTACACTACTGCGTCACTGGGTTTTATGCATTCCATTCAGAGTACAGCATTCTTCGGCGTTCACTTCATTCACATTTTCTGGTGTTTAGCATAGAGCGGGCAGGCAGACAGCATTCAAAGGCGCACAAGCATTTATTATTATTATTAATTCCATTTTTAGCCCGTTCCTCGGCTAATCCGAGTGCGGCTCACGGCCGCTAGCTATCCACTTATTGAACGCTATACTAGGCTCTAACTATCTATAGAAACTATGCACTAATGCTACCGCTCCTAAAGTAAATACTATTCTAACGCCAAATATAGACTATGTTTTTGTGCTTTTTACTCTTTTATACTAGCTAGTAACGCCTGTCTAGCTCGAACTAATAAGATTAAGTAAATAAATAAACGTTAAGTCCCTCGCTCTCTACCCTTCCGCTTATTGTCTATATTACTTCCTAGTCTTTCGAAGGTATCTATCTATACCCTCGATTTTCTAGAAGCTAAACTATCTTAGGTTCTTAAGGTCTCCCTAGGGCGTGTCTTTTGCGTAGGCTATCCTATATATCTAAAACAGCGTATCTATAAGGCACTTACCTAAGTAGAAAGTCCCGGACTTGCGCTAGATATTATATACTAGCTTGCCGTTATCGTACGTATCTCCGAAGTAGATAGCGCGCACTTTACGTTTCTCCTTTAGGGCCTTAAGGAATACCTATTATATATATAGTAGGAAGGTCTCTACCGGCTTTAGTCCGATCGGTTCGTTACTAGCGTTATAGTCGTAGATTATTAAATAGTAGCCTTGCTTACCTAATAGTTGTACTATCGCGTAGGCCTATACGTGCTATTCGTCCTAATTATACGCCTCCCGCCTACCTAGTAGGTTTATAGTAGCATTCGTAAAGAGGGCTATCCTTACTATTAGTATACTACTATCTAGTCTCTTTATTTTTGCTTTTATAAAGTCCTCGAATATCGTTATCTAGTTAGATTCTAACGGGTCTTCGTCTCCTTTATACTATCCCTTCTACTTCCCTATAGTAAAGCTAAGGTTGCGTAGGTATATATAGATGCTCTCCTTTCCGTACCTCCTTATCGCCTCTTCCTAGATACGCTCGAGGAACCTCTTAAGAACTAATGTTACTATAAGGTACTCGGCTCTCTCCCTACGGTACGCTCGCTAGATGTCTTAGTATATAGATTCTAGCTTAAAGATAAAGGCGTTTAGGAAGTAGCGCTCTTAGATATTAGTGCCCTTAGCCTATAGTAGTAGCTATAGTTCGAGGAGTATTAATTATAGAATAGATATATTAGCGGGCGCTCGCGATAGTGTTTACTCGGTTATTCGGTAGTACTAGTTAGTATATAGCGTCTTAAGAAAGGTAGGCTTATAGCCTCCTTTTCTATCCTATCCGCTAAGCCTTTCTAGCCGCCTTCCGATATAGACAAACTCGTGCGTTTACTATACTAACCCCTATAAAACGATGTCCGTTCTATAGCTTCTCTTAACGCGATATAGAATCTGTTAAGAACTTTTTAGTACGGTGTCTATATATAATGTTGCTAGCTTCCCGGCGTCGAGGCTAGCTTTAGCTAGCTTAGCCTTATCTAATAAAGGACGGAAACTAACACTACTACTACTACTTGTAGCAATAGTACAGGCTACCGAGGGTAACATAACCTATAGCAATATAGGCAGCTATGTTTAGCAAGATAGGATAACGAGACTGTCGCTTAGGCTAATAACTAGAGCCCTGCAACATAGGCATTATAGAAGTGTAATATAAACAATGTACTGTACGAGGTTGATAATCTATCTACAATGCAGAAGGAGGCCTCTTATATAGGCTTAAAACTAGCCTATAGGTGTAGGGCCGGTTACTAGCTAATATCCCTCCCTTTCTTCGTATCTAACTAGACACGCTTTACATTGCGCGCTTAAAACAAACATGTATGCATCCTTAGCGTTCTTAGCTAAGGCTATTCTTAGAACTCCGCAATAACACCCCCGGGATAGCATTAATCCTAGATACTATAATTATATAAAAACAACTTCCTAAGCAACACTATATAGACTTACTATTGCTTTAACGCGCCGTAATCCTTACTAGCAATAACCTTATCTGCTAGTCGGCTCTCGAAATCTCCTCCGTACGCGTTAAAGCTGTTAGTACCGAAGTACTATCCCTCGTAGAAAGCTTAATTAACGAGGAGGTTAATAGCCTTTTCTGTCGTAGCTTTCTCCTAATCGTATAGATATTCCTTTAGTCCCTCGTTATTAAGCTAGAGGATCTATTCAACTTCGTTCTAAACAACGTAACTTAACTAAGGAATCCTACTAACTAGAGCGTCGGAGATATAGCCGAGGCCTTCGACTAAGATAGCCGTAGAGAAAGCGAATAGTACGAAGGAGTTAGAGGCTAGGAGGGCGGTTAGATTGCGGTACGCTTTAGCAACCTAAGAGACTATTAAGTTCTCGTAGCCCTTAACCTTAGTGCCGTTAATAACGCGAGAGTAGCCTAGGTTAATTAACATACGGTTGCTCTTAGTCTTTAGATTACTATATAGCAGATATAGCATCTAAATAGAGACCTCGCACTCCTTTAGAGGGTTGAGGATCTACTCCGCTTTACGCCTCTTACTATTAGGCTAACTATCGAACATATAGTCGAGGTCGTCGTCGGTAAGGTGCTTATTAGTAAGCTTGCCGATCTTAGTTAGTAGGACTAGGCTACGAGCCTTAAGCTTCTCAACCTAGTTCGCAAAGACCTCGGGCTAATATATACCTTCGACAATAGTAGAGTAGCTAGTCTTATCCTTAGATATAAGGCAGACCTTAATACGTAGGTAACTAGCACCCTCGCTAGCTGCGAGCTTAACTATATCTTATCTAAGACGAGCAGACTCCTTAGAAGGATAGTTTTCGTAAGTACCGCTAACCTTAAAGAACTTAGTAGGCTTAGGGACGGAGATAAGCTTATATACGTAATTAGGTCGAAGGGCGATAGCTAAGAGCTATAGGGTAGGGTGCTAGCGGACGATTTAGTTGCTTATACTATAAGTTTAAAGGGCATTGCGGCCTTCCTACTTAGACTTAGGCATTGTACGTATATGCTAAAGGTATATTTCAAACTCCTCCTATATTAGATCGATAAGGAAAGGAAGATATACTCTACGAGGCTCTTATAACTAGCTAAAGACTTAAGGGAAGATAGCATTGCTAGTCTAGCGAAAGCGGTCGAAGGAAGTGCCTTAGCTAAGGATGCTAGTAACGAACTTGCTCTAGCGATCTGTTAGCGTAAGGGCGCGAGTAACAGTACTAGTAGGGTTGAACGCGTAGAGTCCTAGAGATGTCGGGGCGGCAACAGGGCGTCTAGGAAACTAATTAGTATAGGCCTAATTAGCTTTAAGGGCAGCGAAGGCGTCTTAATTAGGAACCTTGCGACTAATCTTTAATAGGCGACCGACGAGGATACTCGCCTTAGCACTAGCATAGAGACTACAGACCTTAGCGGCCTTCTTAATATAGTTAGCATATATAGAGAACGGCTCTTCTCCTAGCTTACTAAGGTCGTCGAGCTATTAATAGATAGATAGGGCGGTAGGAGCTTTGCCTATATCGGCTTTAGGAACTATATCGATCTTAGTAATAAGGTACGCAATAGAGTCGCCCTTATAAGAACTACAGATGTTCTTAGTTAATAGGATCGGCGAGAGCCCTCTATCTCTACGCTCGCTAAAGGAGCCTTCGGAGGAGACATCTTCTAGTAGTGTATCTAGCATATTAACATCCGAGTTACTATAGTTAGTACTATAGTTAGCCCTAGAAGGGACGCTGTACTTCTTAATAGCCTTACGGAGGGCCTAGCGAGTATGCAATACCTTCTTACGCGCTGCTTCGGCCTTAGCGCGCTCGTCCTTAACTTCCTAAGGGACCTTACGGTTGCGAGTCGAGCGACGGTCTTAAGCCTACATCTCCGTAGCGAGCGCGAGACTAGCAGCCGTATCGGCCTCTATTTCTAGGCGAAGAGCCTTGCGTTTAAGGATATTAACGATAGGAGCCTCTTAACCTTTAATAATAAAACCTACACTATTAATACGATAGCCCTTCTCTTTTAGTAGATCCTTAGTTGTCTATACGTTAAGATCGACCTAGACAATCGCATCGTAGTGCTTCTTCTAGTAGGATATCGTAAAGTCGTTAAGCGTAAAGGACAAGTTAAGTAACTGCTTGCCTACCTTCTTACTAGCGGTAGATATACGATAGATTATAGTACGGGAAAGGTGCTCGGCGCCTTAACGACGGACCTTATACTTATTAACGAACGAAGAGACCTACTTAGTACGCTCTTGTCTACCGTAGGCGAAATTAACAAGGCTCTTAGGAAGACTACTTAGTCCTCCCTAATATTCGAAGGCCTAGTCGAGGGTCTTAAAGCGTAAGCGAATCTAGGTGCCGGCCGTTTCGAGGCTATAGACGATAGGAAAGGCTTGTTCGATATCTATATCGTTAAGAACCTCGCGCTTAAAGACACGCTTACCGATAGACTAACGCAAGTTGTTTATACCGTACGCAACTAAGATAGCAGCCTTCTTAATGTTCCTATTAATAACGCGTAGTAGGGTGCGAGCGTTCTAGATCTTCTCTTAAGGGTCTTTAAGGGCGGTAACGATCTAGAAGTAGTACTCGAGGCTAGTTATAGCAGCTAAGGCGCTATCGGATAGGGCTTCGATCGGGACTAGTACGCCTAGGTTTAGGGCTAGTAGGTTGCTACTACTACTAGCGCCTAGCGGATTTAGGGCGCCGGAAGACATCTTAGTCGACCGGAGTAGAAAGGAGTTAGTAACGAGTTTTGCAAAAACGTTCGTAGCTTGTTAATAATAATTAAAGGGTTTAGATAGAAGGAGGGGGAGGGGGTAGGCGGTAGTAAG